CATCCATCAGTCATCGTATCATCGTTCGCTGTTCAGTGGAAGTTCGAAAACTATCAGAAGTATTATCGTGATTTATTGTTATAACATTCTCAGAACTTGTGGAATAACCTTATTGTTGGTTACATGTTGGTGTAAGAATAAAGGATTCTCGAGTCGCCAATCCGTGTTCTGGCTTTTCGGGTTGGTTATTACAAATTGTTTCTGAAAGTCTTCCAGGGATAGCGTGAGGTCCAGTGTAGTAACGGCTGGATATTGATAGTTACCGAGAGTTGGCTGACATATATATTATATCCACTTTTATATTATCTTTCAGCTTGCTACATCTCCTAGCCGAAAGCGCATATGGTCTAAGACTCAACTACATGATGACTTCTGTTCTCACAAAAGGTCCTGTTAGCATTTATAGGTGATTTCCATGTACCGATAGCATTTTTGTTGTCAAACAGTACTGTTCTTTACACGGAAATAGGCGGAATTGATATCTTGAGACGTGAAGTCTTCATTGAATGATACTGTGCCGAAAAGTGAAGCTTTTACATAAAGTAGACGATTAGTGTAGGTGCTATTGCCCTCCACCTTGCTCATAAAAGCGATATTTGGACGAATTCCCCCTGAAACACTAATCATTGCATCCAATATAGTAGGAGTGTGCCACAGTCAGATCACAGGCCGCTGACACCAACATGAAATGTCAAGAAGCGGGAATTCTTATCAATCCAGAAAACATTCATCCCAATTTACTAAAACGTATTGACGAAATTTCAACCAACGTGTAGTATGAATCAGGCCGTAAAATAAGATAACTCCTCACGCGGCAGCAATTTGAATATCTTGTTGCTTTTTCGCGCGTTATTCCCCAATTATGCTTTACTCCCCCTTTAATAGGTCTCTAACTAATATTATTATATATTTAGTCCTATTCTTTCACAAGATATATACCTTTTCCGGTTAGAGTTCTCGGTTATAGTTTGTGTCTGTTTAAGTGCTTCTCTTATTGTATATTTGCATTTATAGTATTTGTTTTGAGTATCTTTATACTCTAATCCCAAATTTGTATCCGTAAAACTAGACAATTAAGATCTTCGATAGTCTAAAACGGACCTTACACAAAAATTCGCCCATTCTCTTATATTTAATAATTTAGAATATTCCAAGCTTGCTATAATGCTGAATAATTCTAGCATTCTATAGTGAGTAAATTCTGATTCTGTTCTAAAATGGATTCCTTAATGGCACTGACTAGAACTCAGTGCTGGTTTTCAGCATGACTGGCACTAATTCAGCACCGTGCTCTTTTCTAGGCACTTTCAAGAGTAGATCAGAACCTACTGAGTTCGCTTAACAGAGTTCTTCCAGCCCTGACAGGCATATTAAGCCCGAATAGCGTTACTTCAGAACATATTGGGTAGATAAAATCTTCATTTACCATAAAAAGGCATTATCGAAGAATAGGTTAGAATAAGTTTAGAATTGTTGTAAGCCAGGGATGTATCAAAAATGCCAGTTGTCCGACATAAGCGTCTTACTTGATCACGTATTTAACCTGAGTGGTCATAGTATAATGTGTTGTAGAAGCCCTAAAATTCCATTTTACACTTGGGCTTTGCATGTAGGAAGGGAAGGCAGTGCCACCGCCTGTTTCGAAACATTTGATTGACTTTAGGCAATCAACTAATCTGACAATGGTTGTGATATGATTATGAGCAATAAATTGTGCTCGAAACGTCATCAGTAAACATTGCTGTATAACACTGTGAGACTTTACGAAAACAAAATTTACCCATAATGGAATTACACTCTATCACAGTGCACAAGTTTTATTCTTGTAATCTGACAATGGTTTTAAGGTTGCTTAGCCAAATGGTGCAAGTCTGTATGACACTCTAATTCTAAAATTACTCAAGACAACAGACACCATCATTTTACGCGAAGCAAGATGTTCGCACAATGTTCAAGGCACCGGTTGTGTTGTTAATGTCACTCTACATCAGCCATGTCAAATTAAATGTGCCTGTTTTGTTTCAGTACACTGCCTAACCTATAATTACTGATAGTAAAACTTAAAACGTAAAGACTCAATGAGTAGTATATGTGATATGTGATTGTCATTGAGTGTTGGGAATATTTGCCTCAAAGATTTTGGGAATTATTTGGCTAGTTTGCCTGAACTACAGGGTCTTGCAATGTAGGTGCTACGAAGACAACAGATGAGTGAAAAGTGGAGAACGAGCCTATTCATTTGTGTACATGTTCAGACAAAATATATAACGCTTCATCAAGAACTCGCGGACAGACTAGTAGTCAGGTTAGTTGAGACTAGGTTAACTCAGTTTCAGCGATTTATTGTATTCGAGTCCTAGCTCCGTTTCGCTGGCATAGAAGGGATAGTACAAATTCATGAGTTTCCATTGGTTGTGGAATAAAACCAGCGGGTGAGATGATGAAATGCTGGGAGTGGTTTATTCATTTTGTCAAATTTACCCAAATATTCCCATAGTAAAATTTAGAACAACACATTTAAGCGAACAATATTGTTTTCAATTAGATCTCATCAGGCTTAACTCTAATATTTATAAGTTTACAAATAAAAATTCAAATATAAACCAATCACGGTGTTTTGTCTATAGGATAATAAGATGGTGAATATAAATTGTGCAGTTAGTCATAATACTGGTAATGATAATATTAATAATAGTAATAATAATAATAAGGATGAAAAAATGAGGCAATCTGTGATAACATGAGTAATGAAAAACAGAGAAGAAACCTGTGACTCTGACTGCACATAAGAAACCTATATTTATTAAGTTACAATTTAATGGGGACTTATCTAGTGAGATTTTATTCCAAAGACTTTCAAGGAGCATACGTAGAACATTTTACGCAGCACACCTATGTTTGTCATTCTCTAGCCGACGAATGATTGGGACGCAAACGAAGGATAAGCTTGATAGTTTTGCCACATCTATGTGTATTTATCAATTCAACTGCACCTGCGGTGACATTTATATTGGGCGTACTACTAGACAGCTTAGCCAACGTGTTAGTGAACATCTCCCATCGTGGTTTGGCAAAGGACAGACAAAAACAATCCGTAGCTCAATTCTGTCACATCTAATTGATAGTGGTCATGTAGTCAATAAAACAAAAGCCTTCAAAGTAATTCATCGTATCCCTCCGATTCTTTCTAATAGACTTCGTATTCGTCTACTGCACACAGCTGAGGCGATAGGCATTCGAACTATTAAACCTAAACTATGCATTCAAAAGAAGTTCGTGCAGCCATTATCCCTCCCGTGGCCTAATAAGACATAACCAACTAATGACTTTTACACCACTCCTTGTTTATATTTCCAACCCCTTTCTTATCATCCCTTAACCTTATCACATCTTCATTACATACGTGTCTCATTTCCTTCCCTTACAGTCTAGCATTACGTAATCGGTTCATTTATTTTTACTAGCCTTTATCGACTACTTCCACCTGAACAATTGTTTGTTTAATCATACTGCTTTTCATTACTCGTGTTATCACAGATTGCCTCATTTTTTCATCCTTATTATTATTATTACTCTTATTAATATTATCATTACCAGTATTATGACTAACTGCACAATTTGTATTCACCATCTTATTATCCTATAGACAAAACACCGTGATTGGTTTATATTTGAATTTTTATTTGTAAACTTATATATATTAGAGTTAAGCCTGATGAGATCTAATTGAAAACAATATTGTTCGCTTAAATGTGTTGTTCTAAATTTATCTAAGTCAAAATTATTATTATTATCACAATTAGCGATAGTCGTATTGGTATTAATGTTGCTAGTTATTACTGGTACTACTGCCACTATGGTTCATGATTTACCTTCACTTTGTGCATTTTCGGCTGCTATTTATTCACATCCATCGAATATTGAAGAAACCGAGAGTGAATGCAACAAAATGACATTTAAGCGACCATGAAAGTTTCACTGATATTTACTGATAAGACTTTTTCTAAATGCCGACCTAAATATCAGGTGAATATAAGAGTGTACATAGTACAATACTCAGAAGGAACAGTGGACTTATTCTAGTGGTCATCTGACCTCGGAATTTGAAGTGGTGCTGACGACTTATTCTACGTGTAAAACTTGAGCATTGTAGGAGTATGCAGTTTCGAAAAACCGGAAGTCTCTGAGTTGTCTAGTTATAAATCATAGGATTATTTTTTACAATAAATTGTGCTCAAAACGTCATCCTGTCAGTTATAATACCCTTTCACTGTTTGACATATCTACTATGCAAATTGCTATGGAGTTGAATGTTTCCTGATTTTACGAATAACTGTCAACTTCGGAATGGCACGATTTCTGCATAAGCACTAGGAGCCTAATACACAAGCAACAAAGTATCAGAGGATACTGACGGTGTGCAATGGAAACCCTGGAAGCAATGATCACGACTGGATGGAAGTCAATAAGATCAAAGCTGAAATTCATCTTCAATTACTGTCGTAGCACGCCTATATTAAGCCCAACTGTGTGTTTATCAAACTAATTCACGTAGGCATGTTATACGCTTGCAGAAACCAATTTCACTTATGCTCGTTCAATGTTTGCCGTTGTATTATTGAATATCGCTTTGCGTTTGTTATATGCATGTATATTTTAAGCAGTTATGCACATTTTGCGTCCACTTCACGACTTTAGAAATTCGATTTTGATGACAGCACATCTCTTTAAGCTTTCACCTGTGCTCTTTTACACAACATTGTTTGTCTTTCTTCGAGTACAGAGTTAACACTGAGTAGAACGTGAAAACTTGGAAGTACTATGGTATCATAATCGAAATCATAATAAGTGTATCATGCTGTTTCCCCAAGAAACAAGATTCATTGAGGATTTACACATTTTGTGTGTTAGAGAGGTAGACGTGATGTGCATGTGGAGACAGATGATGACAGTGAGAAAAATTCATTGAAAATAAGAGTATATTTTATATGCTAGAAACTGCATTACAAGAAGTGAGTGCAACAAATGAAAAGTGAGTGAGACATTATCATCATGAATATGATTCCCATCTTACTGGTGCCAGAAAAGTTCAATACTACACCTAATAATGATCATCTTCGTCCTCACCATCTCCATTCTCACCATCTTCATCCTCATCATCATAATAATAATCGTCATCATCATCATCATTATCATTATCATGACTAGGATCTTTGGCGTCTCCAAGTATCTTGTAATCAGGAATGACGAATTTTGCTGGGCACAAGATTTGAGACTGAATTTCCCCTCTAAGTAATTCCTCATCTTCCACATAATCATCTGGATTAAATTCTTCTAGTTGGCTAGCGTATTCTGTTGGACAATTGATGAGTGATGAAGCTTCATTGAAACAGAATACTAATTCGTGTAAGTAAACACTCCCGGCCTACACAATGTGAAGTGATGAATAAGAAAGAGAATCGTGTTAACTAGGTAGTTACAAAAGCGATTATTCGTCACCCGAAATGTGTCGCCAACACAAAGCTTCACCTATCTCTGAATTTCAAACACACAAGCTCAAGATAAGTAAAACTTGATTCCTTCGACTGGTGTCAGAAGCTACTGACATGAATTCTGGTCGTGTTTGGCGAAATCAAGGGATTTGCGAATCCGATAGATTCACATTTATTCAACGACATACTTAGCATGTTATTTATGACCACATGGAATAGATCGGAAGTATATTGACATGATGAAATATTTGGAAATATATGTGCATAAAAAAGACATTACCTACCTCACTTTGTGCACATATCAGCTTGGGTTGTACACCGAATTTTTTCAACAGCTTGTCTTCCACTTTTGCAGTCTACATGAATAGAAAGGATGAATATAGTTTGTGAATTAGCGAGATTATTCAGTGTTGGTTACTCTTAATTAGCGTGAATTTGTGTAACAGACAAATTGAATTTCAACTTACTGAGTGAACCTTCTTCTTTAATATGTTATTGAGATTTTTGACGTTACTGAAATGAAGGGGAGTGTGTTTATGATCAAATGTGAAAAGTAACATCAAGAAGTATATTGGTGCGTCTGTATTGTCTCAACGTTGAATGCTGACACAGAAACTCCTTGATACATTCCTCGACCCAGTAGTTCCAGTGATGTTACGAATCTGAATCAAGACATTGACTCATCAATCCTGACCCTGATACTACCATCCTGCTTATCACTTCAGCCCAGTATTTCCCATAATTGACTAACTTCATCAGTATAAACCATCGTGTATAGTACAGTCCAGTTAAGTCCCTAGTTAGATCAGTCCACAACTGAGTGCAACATACAGTACACATGGTAATGAAGGTGAGTATATACACTGTGGTTTTTGAGTGTAAGACCACTGTGAGGATGCACACTTTTGTATCATAAGGAAACATGAATGAATGGGAGCTGGCGGGAATGCAACCTCATAATCAACACAATAAAATGATTACTATAACTCGAACAGTATTAATAATAACAACCACATTTAAAAAGAAACATGTGTCAACATACTTTGGAGTCATGAGTTGTTTGTAGAGATTAATACCACGATTGAAGTAGAGAATTAGACTGGGTCCAGATTTATCCATAACTGTACAAGCTCCATAATTAAAGTAAACCCAGTAGCTGAAATATGAGATTTGTGTGAGTGAAATAATCAGAATGCACGAGAACAGCTTCAGTATTAGGAAAACCTACGGGTGTTAGATTGTCAACAACACCATCATAACCAACAACAAACAAAAACAAACAAACAGGCGAACACAGACGCAAACACCCATGGTGTTCATCGACACTTTTGTCAACCGTCCATACACCTTCACACTAACTGACTTCACTTCACCGGAATCGCGATTTCGAAGTATAGATGTGTCAAAAAGTGATTAAAAATCCCTCAGATGAATCAATATAAGCAAGCGATTGCCAGCACATACACACACACGTACTGCTTCGCTCTGATTAGTGAAAAAGCACATTAAAGTCCATGATATGCATAGTTGTATGAAAGACAATAGCAAAAGTGAGAGGTAACTCACCTTGCGGAGATATCAAGAGTTGGATTAGTCCAGTAGGTATTCAGATCACGTATTTTTTTCTGAAGGTAAAAGGAAAGGCGAGAGAAAATTGAAGTGGAATGGTTTAATAGTGCTCTATGTGTGTTATGCCAGCTGCTGTTTCACAAGTCCTGCCAGTGCGAGTGAATGAAATGGTGAAATTTTGTTAATTGCAAAGAAGTAATATTTTGAAGACACATGGGTAAAATGTCGGTTTCGTCACTCACAATATCCTCATCTGAGAAGCTGTGATCATATAAACATGTGCCGTTCATCCAGTCAAAGTGAGGTGATGCTCTGAAATTGTGAAATAACTCAGTATTAGCACAAATGATGCAGCAAATAATATTGATACACTGAAATCATCCTCGAAACAGAATCATCACTTCAGTCACACATCACTAAGCGATCATATGTGAAAGTAGACTTCGAGCAAGTGTTTACCTAAATGACATGATTTCATGCTATAACATCTTCAATCAGTTATCCCAATTTTGCTAGAGTATTTTACTCACGGCAAAATTCTTTGACATCCGATCACTATATAAATTATCTAATGTATACGAAGTGTGCCCCACCGTATAGAACATTTGAGAGGAATGATTGTCAGGATGATATTTAGGCGAACTTTACAGACCAGTGTGTAATCATTCAGAAGCATCATTGCAGTGTAGCCAGTCACATATCCACTCATATTCATCAGTCTTCTTGTGATGGAGTGATTCATCCCGCATTTCGTTGACTGACTGAATAGTCGCACTGACTGTGCACACTGATAAATATCAAATGTGCATTGTCATCATGAAACAAGTTGGTTAGTGTCAATCAATTCACCTTATAAGTACTGATGATTATCTTCCCAACTATGTCCGTGTTCACATCACTTCCTGAAGTATTGAGACATTTAAGAGAATACATACAACTCATTCATTGCAATAAGGGGAGCACAGCACCCTGATGATGTCAGAGAATGCGTCAATTTACAAAAGACGAATGCACAGTAATCTCACCTCAATCTCGAAATATCCATAGTTCTATTTTGCGAGACAGTACACTGAAAAACAAATCGAGATTTTTATTGGCCGACTGAAATTATTTTACTGATGAGTACTGTTGACGTCAATCTGACATATAAGTGTGTGTTTTTAATGATTGCACAGCGTGTGGTTATGCAATTCGACATCGGTTTGTCATAATACGCCTCACTCACCGACACTGTTTACTGTTCCAGATATATGGTTATGGTTACAAAGAAGGAGTTGTGTCAAGTAGCATTCAACGAGTAATACTCATTGACCAGGTGAATGGAATTGACGTGATACATGCATTTTGGAGGTTCCCTTTACATCTAACTGAACTCAGATGTATGCATATGTGATGTTGATTGATGAACTCCAATGTCACTTATTGATTAATGGACACACTAACATTAATCGAATGAGCCTGATAGCTGACTGACACAAAACCGTATGACGAAGTATGTGGCTGCATGCACAGACTAATCGAGTGACTAAACAGGTTGATTTTGTGACGCCAACAAACACTGCGATGACACGTCTCCGTGAGAGTGAAAAGTCGTCAAATAGAAATGATGAAATGACAATAATAATAACAATCAACATGGTCACCACAATAGTATGCGCATATGTAAACGTACATATCTGTTGAAACAGTGTGTTGGAAGCCAACGTAAATGAAGCATGTATGTCTTGCTAGCATTGGATTCAGCGAGTAATGTGTGGATACATACGAGAAGACTGAGAATGATGAGTCTGTAGGGAAAGGAAAGGAAGAGAATTAGAGAGACATGCAGATTATGATTAGAGTGAGTGCTTCAATGCAGTTTCCGACCACATTATGCTTGACGCAATGCTCGGAATACAAACGAAACAATAACTGTGCATGTGCAGTAACATACAAGGAGATATAACATGGCTCATTCATGAATACGAGAAATCACATCGATCATGATAACTCACTGCATGATGTAGACGTTCAAATCTGAGAGAAAAATAAACAGTCACTATTGGTTATCGTAATGAGAATAAAATCATTGAGAAAAATGATTCCCGTGCCTACTGTTACACAGTTATTCATGTGTGTATGTGAGTGGATTGCAGTGTAAATGCGGAATCGACTTCGCCTTGGTTAGTACAACAGACCAACTTGCACACAGTCACTGTTGCAGTAAGGCACATAGTCGAGTCCCTTGTATGTGCTTTCACTCGATTTTTCCGTTTGAGAGCATATTACACATCATGTCCATGTTGAATTAACTGCGCTTACATTCATTAATCTGTGTGCATATTGTGAGTGAGTGTCATACGAGATATCACATTTCAACAGTGTGCATTCTCATTGTCAACACCACTTCACAGTGAAACAACCACACATGCATCTCATCGACTATCTCTGACCATGTAGGAAAAATCAATGATTGAGAAGTCTCCTTCCTCAAATGATAAGAAATTATACGACTGAATATCAGTGTCATGTTGTTTACGTACGGAATAATGCATCATGATAACAGCAAATAATATTATAGACTTTGTGGACTTACCTATACACAGATGTGGTCTACCCGTCTGCTCAAAACAGTGAGTTGTCTGTGTTAATAACCAGCCTATTTATACCTGATTCATCTGAAGTCTGTCAAATACAATTAGTATTTTGCGAATTAATTTAGCACACAGATTATGAAGATAAGAAATGAAATAAAGTGCAGTACATTTCAATGGAATGTGAGGTGAGGTGATCTAATGTGAAAGTATGCGGTCAAGATGATTTTGTTTTTCATCATGTTTCAGAATATTGACTAAATGATAATTAATGTAAGAAGTGAGTTGCTCTCATCATTTGTCTCTGTGTGATTTATCGTCAACCAGCTGTTACAGAAATGCGGTAGGTGGAGATCTCTTGTCTATTAAAACTCTGTGTCAAGTAGAAAATTCCTCCCCTGTTTATGTTGGGTTCTCAGAGTACAATTTCATCATGGAGTTACAGAATTCCGGATTATGTAGAGCAAATCCATGAGTATTTTCCACACTATGAATATATGCCGAACAAAGTGTATATTTATGATATTATTTGACTCATCGAAAATCGATTCACATGGGACGTTATATTTAATTGACACTATAGTGAACCATAGTCTGTGTCCACATTATATGTCTGAGGGTTAACGGGTTCACACAACTGTATGAGAGTCTATTGTGGTTAACTTTTTCTCTTACTGTGTTATTCAGGTGTTCAGCCCTGTTTTTTCTATTTACTGTATGTCCACAAAACAGATGACATGCCTACTTTGCTAGTTCTCTAGCTTTCCAATCATACTTAAGCCCGGGAAAAGCTGGAAGGTTGTGAGATGAGGATGTCCAGTGAACATCCCCCCGAAGGATCAATCTAGCAGCTACACAAACTTGAAAGCACAAGAAAATAACAACTTATTCTTCCCTGGAATCGGAGAGGCGAAATGATGTGTTCTGGTGAAAGCCTTCGCGAAGTCAGTCAGCCGATGTATATTCTTTTGATGAAGGCGAAAGTAATCGTTGGAACTTTGAACGTTCCTTCATTGCACGAGGCTGAGAAGACTAACCGGGTAGCCATAGAAATGAGAAGAGAAAGCGCAGAAGTGCTAGGAGTTTGCAGGAGCAGGTGGAGTGGAGATGAACTGTGAGAATTGTCAACTGAAGAATCTACTCCAGTCAGCCAGGCGACTACCAAAAGCACACTGAAGTAGTGAGAATAGCAGCACCAATAGGCGCCTGTCTCTGTTTCGAGTCTATTCGAGATGAGTCATGAATAATTCAGAAAGAACGGAGCTGAAAATTATCCCAAAGCCAACCTGTCGATTTCCTGGTAGAGCTGGTTATTAAACCACAACTCAACATTCTCTGTGCAAGTAAGTAAAGAATTTCTTAGTAAATCAGACTGCTGGAAAGTGGTTTTCACCATCTCATCAATGGGTATGCTAGTGAACAGTGAACAAATCATGTTAAATTGCAATCACTAAACTCTACACCATTAGTGTTGTTATTGTTCCGTTTACCGACATTTGGCTGATTCAATGAATACAGATACGATAATCAACCTCTTTCGCCAGATGGAACTATCACTTTTCAGTTATTTCACCATTTACACCCCGTTAGTGTGTGATTGATTATACGCAAGGGAATGCATCACAATGCCTTACTATTCTCCGAAGTAATTCATCTTAATGTGGCCAATAATTGTAGGCCCCGAGAAATTCCCATCTGCAGACCATCTTCGAGGTTCAACTATGCAATTGACCTCACAGTCAATTCATGATACTTGGCATATTAATTGTACGGCGTTTCTTGTATTTCGGTGTATTGAGTGCTTAGTTGACAAAGTCTGTCTCCAAATGTGTTGGTCGGTTTGTAGGCTACCCTAATTCCAGCTTGAATAAGAACACTACTTAAGCCTTCTCATGTTTCTTCTTTATATGGGACTGCTATAGAGAATTTCAATTCATCAATCAATAGATACATAGAGATAGACAAAATTTATCAACCAATAAGAAAGAAACTTCACACACAAAGGGTCAAAGTTCAAGTCAAAGAAACAGTCAGTTCCAATATAAGTAACCTAGAAGATGTGAAAACACATAAAAAACCAATCACGTCCAAGGTCACCAGGAGAGATGATTAATAAACTCGTGGAGAAATCTAAAAGCTCACTTCAAAATGAAGTATGCGCTGAAGATGTCATCCAGTAGGGCGATGAAAGCTTCGCAAATTGACCACCCAGCTGAGAGAACAAAACCACATCGAAATTTCAATTCCTTATTATCCATATCAACTTCATTATTCACATTGAAACGCTTATTTTCCATAGAGGTTTTCATGCATAGATTTTTGAATAAAATCTGGTGTGTAGTTATCTACAGTTATTCTTGTTTGGTTTCATTATTGAAATTTTCTGGTCTGAAAATTCGACTTCTCAAGCAACTAACTGAACCCTACTATAGAGATTTCGGGTGAAGTAAATCAACGCTTAAATAGTGATCAGAATGTGTCGGCGTGCTATAAATCTTGCTATCTAACCCACCATCACGCTTCGATTTGATATCACAGTATATCACTGTTAAATCACCTTCTCCATTATGTAAATGAAGACTGTTAAGAAATATATCTAAGAAAATAATTTCACTGTCCTCATGGGTCATCTAAATATCTCCAGGTTAACCTAGGAGGATAAGGATAAAAAGTACTAAAAGATTCAGGTTATCGATTATCCATAAACAATTTAGAACTTCACAGGATACGTGAGATCAAAATGCCACCGTGTAAGTTTGTTTCTAAGCAGTTGTATTAGTTTCACTACTGCTGTCGTTGATGTCAGTAATATTATTAGATATCACACACTGATGTGAATATGTTGATTCCGAAATATGTGGTTGCAACATCGATTCGCAAAGTGTACAAGAGAGACGCCGATTGGAGGAACTGCTCCTCATAAACATTATAGTCAGCTAACTGACACCACCATAGTGTTCAGTACCTGCAACAGACAGCATCTACACGTAAGCAGAGACCTCCATTCACTCTGTCAGACATAAACACATACTGAAAGAACATCGTTCTCAGTGCACGTGGTTAACAAACTCCACTCACACGATACACAGTCTCCATACAATAAACACACACACTCATCACTCTTTTCTCATACACAACATCAAGTTGAATGAACATCCTATGGATTTCTACACATACCTTCAGGCAACGATAGTCAATGACCTTCAGTAAACCTCCTAATAATGCACCTGTACTCAGAGTGTGGCCTGATAACATTCCACGATTTGATAAACAATTTCTGTAGTTATTGTTACCTCGCATGATATTTTACTTATCAGTTTATTTATAACAACGAATATGAATAGAAAAGTGAATTAACCATGAGAATGACCTGAACGAAAGCGGATTAGTTTTAATGAATCATACGATAATGTGGTGATTAGAAAAAATAAGAGAAAGATTATTGTCATTCTGTGTAAACGAGTATGACAAA